CGAATGTATGACGTATAGCTACGCACAGCACACTGTGTACACAGGCACAAAATAGTAGTTGCTTACGAACATCACACATTCTGACCTAACCTAAATGAAACTAACTGAGTGACGCTTACCTACGATTTGACACAACCTAGAATCGTACCCTCCCCCTTTTCGCTGTTAAGATATCCGGATTTTTGTCTGAGATATCATAGCTGGGGTAAGTTGGCACCAAACACGACGTTTTTCTATGTTTGACGTCCATAATTGAGGTTAGGTATCTTTATTGTTTGTAAATAATTTCCTATATAGTCCCTATTTAGAGATTGATCGTAGAGGAACACCAATTAAAGTTTATCATTAATAATGATAATATCACTTTATCAGAGCCTGTGGATGGAAGTGATCGTTAATTAAAAATGAAGAGTAAGTATGCAACAGCTTTATTGTTAATTATAACAATTACAACTGGAGCACCCCTTGCTCCTACAAATACAAAGGCCTCGTGTTAATCCAAACTGATCGGCACGGGTAATATGTAAAAAACTTATAAAACGTCAAAAAAACCTATAAAATGTCATCTTGCAGACGAGGTAGTTTTTAGGGTGCAAACAGTCAATTCACATTTGCTCACTAGGGTCGTTGTGAGCGTCCATCTATGGAGGAATGGTTCAACTACACGCATTGTTGGTTGCATATGTTTTATGAAGCCGAGTGTAGTCTATAGTTTCCATCTCTGAGAATAAAGTTGGTTTAATAGCAAGATCGCATCTGGATGATTGTGTGTATTGGTCTGTATGTGTATGAAATTAGTTATATTTGTTGTGTGAGAAAATCATTACTGTATATGCTGCCAATGAAGTATATCTATGTATTAGCTGTGCCCGACGGATTATTTATATACAATATTTCACGCGTATCCATCACACCTTGACCTCTACTGAGATAAACAGCTGATCAGTAAGTGACATTTTGGTGTTAGTCTGCAACGTTGGCAATAATGGAACGGGTATGAATCTAGTAATGTGACGTCTTGTTTTTTGTATGCAAATGAACTTTTCTAAGTAAAAGAGCTGTTAGCAAGTTCAAAATCAATCTTTAGCCAAACCAAAACAAAATTCGGCTCGGTCTACCTGGTGCTGACGGATCCGTCAGAATTATGTGTCCTGTGCCGATATGGGGAATTTTAGAAATTACTAGATAATCAGCTGTGATTCTGGATACTCGTGAAATAGGGTATGTGCTGTCCTTTCTGAAGTCAGGTTATGTTAAAGGTTATGAATTACGATTTTTTACGTTTTTTTGGTGTTTTCAAAAACTTTGAGGATAATTACGACCGCGTTGTGTGTAATTACTGTTAGCATGTATATGCCTTGTAATTCTACAGTGTACACTGAATATAATTATTTCTTATCTTTCTCATTTTTGAAATTCAGCAAATTTGCATATGTAATTTCCAGAATCGATAAGAAAAAGTGGATGCGCAACTAATTTCTAGCGTTGGATCTCAAGTAAGTGAATTTGAGACAAAGGTCCAATGGAATTATCAACAACATTATTAACACACAAGTCTTCACTAGGCATTGCAGACTTCTTCTAGCTACTTACAGCTTAGACCTCCAGTAATCACATCGCTGAAGCAGATTTTAGATCACACCAGACCCAAACATTGATGACTGAAGCCTCATGTCGTTTAGGCAACACGCACAACTACAAAACGAGTTCACAACGTGTCCATCAGCTAGTGCTAAGTTCACATCTTGTAGAAAATACATAATGTAAAAAAAAACCGGCATAATGTCACTTTTCAAGATACGTAATATCCGTGCGGATCCTGTTCGCCTAATTATTTAGGAAACTTAAACTAAGTACATATTCATCAATGACCTTGTTGATAAACAAATTATCTTTGACAGTTGACAGGTATGGTACGTTCCTCTTGAAATCGTGCTTACGATTGCTTACGATTAACAACTTAGCACAGGTCAGAAGTTCACTTTAACGTAGGTCAGAAAATCGGCCGGATCGTAAGCAACTAGTATTTACGTATAGAAATATTATGCTCTGTGTCTGTCCAAACGCTACATACTGTGTTAACGCGTCATTTCGTGGAATTTCTGACATTGACAATTGATATTTCCACCCTGGCAGCATTGCCGCTTACTGATAATTACATAGAGTTAATGATGAACACTTAAATGTAAACAATAATTAGGCGGTGAACTGACATGAAATGAAAAAGGTCGCAGACAAAGGAATGATTTACTTTTCATTAAAAACAAATTCATGCGGCTAAGCCGAACGAAACGGAAGAGTTTCACATCTTCAAGGAGCTCATCTGTGATTAGCGTTTGGACATTTATACCACAAAACTTAAAATATCTTGTTCCAGACAGACTTGTTTTATGCCGGGTTCGTTCATCTCCTGAAAATCAAGTGACGTCTGCCGCCGTTCTGTGATTGAAGTCAGCTGAAATGTTTGATTATAAGTTATAAACATAGTATTGGATGGTTCAGAGCTGTGATCATAACCTCCTTTATTTGGAGATCCGAGAGTTGCGCGGAAATTCTGTTGCCTTTGTCGTATTTTGTTCTTTATTCATTTATCACCTCGTCTTTTGGTCATCGGTCATCCTCATGATTATAAGCCCACCGGATTTTAGACTTTTATTACCAAAGACTCTCGCTTTTCTGCCCGTCAACATCTTAGTATTTATCTATTTATTTAGCAACCCAGTGCAATGTTTCAACGTCTTCCCCAACGTTTTCGTTCGTCCTTTGTGTGGTGCTGACTACGCCAAGCCAGGTCCACGTTGCTATTCCGAGCAACCGAGTCCAATGTTGCAACGTTATCCCAAACGTCTTCGTTCGTTCTTTGTGTGGAGCTAACTATCACAAATCCAATTTTTGTGGAAAGACTCTATATTCAAAGAATGAGAACACCCGTTTTTTGGGATTCAGTCGAAAGTGTTGGCAGGAACGGAAAAAGCCTTCAAATAAAATTTTTAGGTACTCAAGAGGCCTACAAAATGAGACCACACGTTAAAAGATTCGACCAATAGTAAAATAGTTATGGCCGTCAACCGAGGCAAGATGCAGGTTTTGGCATTTGTTGCTAATGCCACAGTAATTCCACGCAGCTACTTGAAATTCTTCAAGTCCGTAGGCTTCATACTTCTAAATAACCACAACAAAATTGGATTGGTCAAGCAGCTTTTGAGAATATCTTATTGTTTATCCCAAAACACCTGTCTTGTATCCATCACTACTAGTTTACTGAGCAATAAACAGGATTCGTTCAAAAGGCATTTTATAGCAAAATACACGAATTTACCTTGCCGCCGTGGATCAAAAACCATTCCAAAAGATAATTGTTATTTTTAAGCGAAAAACGAAGGGGTACCTTTTTGTTCTTCTAAACAAATTCAAACATTTCGTATATGTGAGTAACTGAATAGATTCGCTGCGATATTCGAAAAACATACGTTATTTTACACATTTTCAAACAAAGCGTATGTGTATATCACCTTTTGTTAGTAAGAAAATATTTTTTTTTTCCAACATTTCTTCAAGCGAACGCTGTAGGCTTATGAAATCTGTTATAAACAATTACAAAATTGCAGTCATCAATGATGCGTGCTAACTTTATAAACAGATCAGCGCATTGCAGTTTGGAATATTTTTTCATAAACTTTAAGACCCATCTGTGACCGTGTAAAAATTGCAGCTCTAAATACTATATGTATAAAAGGTGATAGACGCATCCGCTTTCTTTCAAAAATGTGTATATTAACGTATGTTTTCGAATATCGTAGCGAATTTGTTCAGTTCCTTACATATATGAAATGTTTGAATTTGTTTATAAGAAAAAAACGTAACCCTTCGTTTTTCGCATAAAAATAACAATCATCTTTGGGAACGGTTTGTGATTCACGTCGGCAAGGTAAATTCGTGTATTTTGCTATAAAATGCACTTTGAACGAAATCTGTATATTGCTCAGTAAACTAGTAGTGATGGCCGGGAGACAGGTGTTTTGGGATAAACAATTAGAGATTCTCACAAGCAACTTGACCAATCAACCCCAATTTTGTTGTGGTTCTTCAGAAGTATGAAGTCTACGGATTTGAAGAATTTCAAGTAGCTGCGTGAAATTATCGTCGCATTAGGCAAGTGCCAAACCTGCATTTTGCCTCGGTTTTCGGCCATAACTTTTTTACTATTGGTCGGATCTTTTTACGTATAGTCTCATTTTGTACTCCTCATAAATACCTACAAGTTTTAATTAAGAAGTTTTTTTGTTCCTGTTAACACTTTCAAATGAATCCCAAAGAATAGGTTTTCTCTTTCTTTGTTGTCGAATAAAAAGTTTTCCCACAAAATTGGTGTACCCATTGTATGTGTCCATGTTTTAAATACCCCTTGAACAACTTGAATCAGTAAAACTCGACTTCACAATTATTTCGGGGATATTTGCTAATATCATTAGACTAATATCAAAAAGTGGCGACAATTGGAAAGGTCCACATAATGTACACAACAACACTACACTACAATGTATTCCTCCTCAAGCTCTAGGCAAGACCTCGGAAAATGGCGTAATTCCTCCAAGCGTATGACGAACATCCACTATGCTAATGTAGTGTAGGTCGTACAATAATTCTATTAGGAAAAATAAGGTTGATTTTGGGATAGAGAATGAAACGTCAAATTGAAATGCCAATTATTCTGCGTATCTTGTAGGGAATGAAAGGTAGGTATTTAAAGTGCAATTGATTTTGAAATCACACCTCAATTAAAGTCGCAAAAAAAACAAAAGCCGTTTTGGGATAATTCTCGTTTTTCCATTTATCTCCGGAGGCTCGTTACCTAGATACACTACCATTTCACCAACTTCGTATCCTACACTAATCCGTGAGGGTCTGAATTGAGTCACCGGAAGGATTGTAGCCTTCCTATAAGTTTTTCAAAGTCTTAATGAAATAGTAAACTATTTATTGGTTTTTATAATTTGATTGTTAGCCTTTACAGTTTACAGTTCCAGAACCATACATACGAGTAAACTGTATGTACATACTTACGTCAACATTGACGTGATTAACAGGGAAAGCTCTAAACGGCGGAGATTCCTTAGGAATGTATCTGTAAAACTCTTCGTCTCCCCTGTACCATTTGATGGAGTACAGCGCAACTTCTTCAAGGTCGTACTCACAGCGTAAGGTGACTGTATCACCGGATCTCGCTAATGGTGGGACAGTAATCTGAACTTCCTTCAGCGCCCAACATTCTGGAACAATAAATGCTGCATTAATCAATTTTAGAGATTCTTTATAACGATGGTGTACAAAATATATAATACGTTACAAGCATCACTCCGATACGAGGGATGTCTTTTAAGTTTTGCATATAGAAACATAGTAGGCCGCACGTCAGTACTGAATCTTAACCTCACTCTTTAGTAAACTTAAATTAAAAGTTTCACAACAATACGTACAGTGTCTCACTACAGTGAATATTTAAGTGTCACCAAGTGATTAGAAGAATTGAACTCAACCGAAAAAAATTTCGCGCCATAATTTATTACAACTTTCAGAGAAAATTATCGCGACAAGAATGCCTTGCTGAGTTACTGTTTGTTTTCGGCAACGAAGCGCCACATCAGTCGACAATTTCCCGTTGGTATGGAGAATTCAAATGTGGACGGGTGAGTCTTAGCGACAATCCCAGGATGGATGCACCAAAAACGGCAGTCACCCAGGAAAACGTCGATGCTGTGCGCAAAGACTAGGGTTAATTGGTGTCAAAAAACGCTTGACCGTTTCAATTCCGGAAACTCAAAAAATGTGTACAGCATTGTTAGTGGTGATGAATCGTGGAGTTATTGTTATGAATCAGAAAATAAACGACACTCGACTGTTTGGGTGTTCCAAGGTGAAGAAAAGCCATCAAAAGTCATCCGTTCTCGAAGTGTTTCGAAAAAGATGGTCGCGACATTTGTGTCAAAAGCGGGTCATATTGCAACAATTCCTCTTAATGAGCAAATAACTGTTACTGCGGATTGGTATACCACCATTTGTTTGCCAAAAGTCATCACCGAGCTTCGAAAAATCAACCCCGAAAGAAGAATCATCCTCCACCAAGACAATGCAAGCTCGCACAGAGCCCAAAAAACAAGGCAGTATTTTACGGAAGAAAACGTGGAATTATTTGACCATCCTCCATATAGTCCCGATCTAAGTCCTAACGATTTATTTACTTTCCTGAAAATTAAAAACAGACTGCGTGGTCAAAGGTTCCAGTCACCAGAAGAAGCAGTTGACGCATTCAAAAATGCCGTTTTTATCTGCCAGCAAACGAGTGGAATAAGTGCCTCGAAAATTGGTTCGAGCGCATGCAGATGTGTATTAATCTTCGTGAAGAATACTTCAAAAAACAATAAAGCCATTTAAAACTACTTACCGTGTTGTTTTATTTCCATATGCAAAACTTAAAAGACATCCCTCGCACCACTACAGAGTACTGAAAGTTCCATTTTTTTGCACCCATTTCGGTTTGGAAAGTGCCACTGACGTCTGTATGTGTGACCTATTTTGTCTGACATCGGCACGCCCAATGTGTGCTGCTTGGGTTCACTAATTGGATGAAAAACAACATAATGTCTTTTCATTCTTGCATCTTTGTATCTAGTGGTAAAGTGGGAGCAAGTAAAAGCTTCGATGATGCTGACGACCCATTTTGTGTCCATCACAACTAAACCGATGCACACGTTTTGCTTATGGGTAAGTGACATTAATCTATCGCTCAGATATCAACAACGAGGCAAATTATCTCAATGTCCTTTTAAAAATAGCGATGAATGAGAGGCAAAGCATTTTTAGTGATTGCAAGGATGTGTTTCGGTTGCAAACAGTGGCCTGCAGTGTGTTCGTTGCAAGACTCTTATTCATGCTGGCTGTGCAAAATATGTGAAAAACCTCCAAAAATTAGATGAGAAATCAGTTATCTATTGTGACGATAGTATTTTGGCAGATTAGGCCATCAAAACAAAATTTGGCGATTGTGACGAAGAAGATATTTCCTTCTTAGTGTAGATGACTTTATCGAGACCGAGGTGAATGATAGAAACCTCATTATCCTAAAAGAGTGGATAGAACATAAAACCTATATAATGGAAACACAACAACAACAAAAAAACAGTTTACTTGACAAAGTCGTATTCAAGAACATCTATGAATGCGCAGATAAAACTAACTTCTGATTTAACTAAGTTAAATGACTTAATGAGTGAATTTAACCTATATCCCGTAGTTCGGTGGCCAGCTCGTATTAAGTCGTACATCAGTGAAAACTATAAACCAAGTTTATATCAATTTTCCCGATAATTGCAAGTACTGCGTTATAGACAATACTTCAGATCATCTTTCAGATTTTGATTGTACGAACATAAGTCTGAACGAGCCAACTTTTGCTAAAAAGAGTCTATAGATATATACATAGATAATTTTCTCAAAAAATATCACGATCCAATCTGGAGATCACAAAGTCCAAATATTTCAAGAATGACCTACTTATGAATTTAAACCGACTTTATTGCTGCCGCAATCCTAGTCGCAAAAGCATTTATTTGAGCTAATGCATCTGGGGTAATAGCAGCCAGAGAGGGAGTCACTCATAAAAATATCGTGCGCAAAACCGAGGCAGGCTCATTTTCGGTCGATTTCCCATACACGTGAATTTATCGGTGGCGTTTTCAAACACTGCAACTGCGGAAGTCTCCTATTGCACCAGATTCGATTACTACTCTGATAAGCTGCGATTGTTACAGCAATATTTGCTGGAAATTTCTTCATTACTTTTCTCTTAAGCACTTCTATTATCGCCGCACAGACTTATCCGAACAGTTGGTCATATGATGTGGTAACGTTTGGTCGTATCTTATGCACAATCTGTTGGTACATTTAAGATAGCCGGCAACAAATGCGGTTGCAATTGCAATGAATCCCCCCAGACACAGATAGAACTGACGATCGGCTAGAGGCTATTTGCTACCAATTTTACCATGGGTATACGCGAGGGAAAATAGGTTGATATTCAACAAATAATGAGACAAATGATGCTGAGTAAGGTACGAAAGAACAAAAACTGACCAAGGAACCAATAGCAGGTTTCCATTCTGCGCATTTTGTATCAGGGTACCTATCCATCGTAGAGGATTGCGGCAAAAAAAGTTGTTACCCAAGAGGAAAATGTTTTCAAGTTTCTGAAATGGCTGCTAGCGGGCGTAACTGCGATCTTGAATCTAAGAAAGTGATGTTTCTGTGAATTCCGCTGTATTAACCTAACAAAAAGATACCTGTTCTTTAAATTCCAGGATAGTTTGAACCTTTTTTGCTTGTCAATTTTTTCTGTCGTGTTCAAACGTTTTCGTAAAAAACATTCTGTTTCTCCAACACGGCTGCGCCGATTTTCACAAACTTGAACTAGTTGAAAAAACATATGTTATAAAATTTGAGGTTTTCTTAGTTCCACATGTAGCCGCTAGAGGGCTGTTTTCGGCATTCTGACAGAACTGGTTAATTTTCCTTCAGAAATTGAACGCTTTGCTATGATAGCTATGTAATGTCTAAAGAAACTCGCGAAAACCGCATCTCGATATCTTGCTCCTAATCCTAAAATTTTAATTGTTTAAGCTAATTTTTCTCGTATTTCTTTTATTAACAAGTTGTGGCCCTAAAAGGGACCGATTTAAAAAAGAAAGCTTTTTAATACCCTCATAAATGCTCGAAACGCTGACCATCACCCTCTATGCATTCGTGCAGCCTCTCATGGATAGACAAAACTGCAGCTTCAATTTCGGCCCTCGGTATGTTACCTATTGCATTACGAACCGTTTTTCACATCTCCTCTGGTTGTAGGTTGAGTCTGGGACACGATGTCCGGCATTTTGAAGACATTTAACATAAACTGCTAGCATATCAACAGCTTCATCGTTCGTAAAACGCAATTGGTGAGCAGAAGAATTGCTCAATGTGACGTGAAACTATTTACAAATATTGAAAATTTGAGGGTTATGGAAGTTTTGATTAGATATTTGTTCTGTTGTATTCCATTGTCTGCTTCTATTAATTCTCTTTTTCGTATATTCCCATAGTTAATACTTACTTTTAGCGATATTTTGTACTATTTTCAAAAAGGGTGATCTTATTCTGATGAATAAAAAATAATTCCAGATAAACTAGTTTAAAAAAATAAATATTTAATGGTTTTCCGTATAAAATTTCCTTTGGCCTAAATTTTAGGTTAGGAACAAGATATCGACATGTGGTTATCGCGAGCTTGTTTAGACATCATTCAGATAAATTTCCGTGAAAAAAAATCATACCGATGCATTTAATTTTTTTGAGAAAATTAACCATTTCTGTCGGAATGTCGAATAAAGCCCGCTAGCGGCCACATGAGAAACTAACAAAACTTCAAATATTGTATTTGCAGTGCATGAGTAGCTCTTTTCAACTAGCCCAAGTGTGTTAAAATAGGCTCACGGAAACATTTGAATACCCCCTACCAATCTATTTGTAGAGATACAGCTAAAATTGTTAAACAGAAAAAGTAAATATTATCCTCGACTTTGAAGATCAGGTTTTTTTGTTAGGTTAATATAGCGGAATTCACAGAAACATCACTTTTTTAGATTCAACATTGCAGTAACGTCACTTAGCGGCCATTTTAGAAACTTCAAAATATTCACCAAGTTTTTCTCTTGACCGTTTTCGTAATAACTGTTTTTGCCGCAGGCCTCCAAGATGCATTTCCAGATACAGTATCTCGCATTCTTAGTTGGCCACCCTGTATGTCGTTATAAAAGTGTGTATGTGTACGACATAATAGATACCTAATACCATCGGTAAATTATGAATATGCAAGCAACCTTTATTCAACAGAAGACGAATGGATACTGGTCACATTCTTTAACAAGAACCTCCTGTTTATAACCTAGGCTAGACCACGGGAATTGAAAAGTGTAAACCTAAGCATCTCTACATATGAGATCAACATCGTAGCAGTGCCGTAATTGGAGTACGGTACCCACTATAAAAAATGATGCAAGCATTACCGTGGTGGGATGTGTTGCGAACCACTGAGGCGTTTTTTTGAGTATCTATGCCATTTCTGGAGAATCTCACACCATGGACGTGGAGGGCCAGCAGGGCAATACTGTCGAGTTTTTCTGCCTGAGAGTGGCTATAAAAGCTTTCTCCTGTAAAAAATGCACCCACGACATTATTTCATCAATTAGATTGATCGGTTTATTTCCAAACCTCACGCCGTATGAATTATGATTTGAAAATACCGATCAAAATACATGCATGTGTTAGAGAGTAATGTGAGTAAAATGTTTTCCAATTACATTTCAAATTATTGCGGAGAGGAGAAACGTAGCTGTACCAAGTTCTCATAGATGACGTCATGGTTGCTTATTTCATCTCAGATGCGATCGTGTTTAACATAGTATGGATGGAAAGTTATGCGTCAATTTAAACATAGTCAAAATGAATCAAATAACTCGTACCTCGGTCCTAATGGACAGAAAACGCATTATTTTTATTGATTATCATCACAATGGATGCCAGACACGGTTAAAATACTTCGCTCGTTCAATGAAAAACTTTGTAAAAACAATATTGATGACACATTGACTTGATAAGGAATTACAATGAAACCATAGAACAACTTTTGTGAGTTTTGTGTAACCTATCTAGAGACAGCAATAAAAATGTGACTTGGATTAATTATGGACGAAATAAAAGACATGATATTTTCAAATGTAATATACACCGACACTGACTCACTTATCTAAACCGAAATATGATTCTATACTATTGGGGTCGTTTATTAAGGTTTCCAGGCGGTCTCTTTCAGATATCTGCTAAGCTTATTATAAAATACCATCATTTTCTGTACTATAAGAAGTTGTTTGTATCTCATTTTTCCAGAAAAGCGAAAGAGTGCGACTTTTTTTCTTATGAGGTATTTGAAAGTAGATTTACCGTAGGTATATTTCCAGTGCTAGCGTTTCATCAAAATGTAAGAAATATCTCCCTATAATAATTCTCATTGTATGCTATTTCTTAGTAAGATGATTTTGTAAAGTTTTGATGAAGCAGGATCGGGATTTCATTCTTCTGTTGACGTCACAATTGGTTCGATTGGATAGCTCTAACATTTATACAATGTCGTTGTAAAATTGTGGGTCTTGTGTCCACTTAATGAGTCTCAGTTTCTAATATTTGGGTCATTAACGTAGTTACGAATCATCCTGTAGCGATAAGAAGCATACTGCAGCTATAATTCTTGTAACTAATTTATATGTATATCATGCGTAATAACGGAGTTATCGACCAAGCCCACTCTAAAAACTCACTTTATACATGAATAATTTGTTTGGTGTTTTTGAAGTGGGTCACTATAGAAATAATTTGTTTTGAATTGAATAAAATTAACAAAACCTACTACTGTACCAATATTAGTTTAGTATATTTTGTGT